TAACACAAGCGAACGTTACTACGCGCTTTTAGCATTATGTTTGCCTGCTTGCAATTAATTAAAATAGGGTTTGCATATGATTCAATACAACGAGTAAAAGTTTTTTCATTCAGAGAAATAATCTCAATTATTGGTATCCGAACGTTTGAAATCAATAGGCAATGTTAATCGCAAAATGGTTCATAAAGATTAATTATACTTGACATCAAAAACTATGAAGAACAGTTATATATTGCATATGGAAATCATTTACATTTGGAAACAATAAATGCTATAGATGTTATGAGAAAGTTTGATATAAAATATAATTTTACATACAACATTCTAGTAATATGGCAAAATCAATTTTCAAACATTTATAAAACGCTTAAAATATTCCTTATTGATCTCGCTAGAGAACTTAGCCATCTTTGTACATTATGTTTTATACATAGGGTAGAGCGCGGTAAAATAGTTCACTACTGATATCCCAAAAATGAGTAAAGTTAAAATTTTTGTAGCAACAATACTTGAAGTAGAGGAAAAATGATGTATAACCAGTCATAAATTTGATTCTTACGACCATAACAAAAGTATTTTCTTTCCTTAGGTTTCTTAGCTGTAAGCACTGTTATTTAGTTCACCAGACCTTAATATAATTTTTATATGATATTAAATTGTTTTATAAAATATATTATTAATTTTAAACTAGATGCAATAGTATTATTTATATAACCTCTATGAAAGCATTATTCATGTTGGTGGAGTAAAGCTGAACTTTTTCCTTAGCAAAGGTGTGAACAATATAAAATTTTAAATAAAAAAGTATAATAAGTTAAAAAAAGCAACAAGGGATAAATTAAATAAATAGTTATTCTAACTCTGCTTCAATATTTTGCATTGGTTGATTAATGTAGCTATTATTTCACCCTTTTCATCAATATCTTTAAAATTAAAAATAAGACATGGGACCTCTGGTTGTCCCATTTTACCCGGCATATAAGGTAAAAAGAACCACATGATAAATTTTAGAAAAGCAGCAAAAAACACATTCATGCAATGATGAATTTCCTGAACATAAATAAGTTTGATATGTATTATTCGTTGTGATATAATTGGTTTGGTGTTCACAATATAATTGCTCAAAGTCAAATTGAATCTTTGTGCTCCGCCCTATCTCATTTTTTTAGGGTTATTTTTACTTAGTTACATGTTTTTTATCTATATTTTCAAGCCAGAATGGTTATCATTACTGCTTGATACCACACTGTCTGAAACGCAATTTTTTATTTTATTACATTTATTTTTTTTTTCAAGTGTCAATATAAATGTATTTTTTTCACTGGAAAATATTTATAACTATTTTTTCGGTATTAAGCAATTTCAGTTATTGTGAAATAATATTGCACTTTTGTATTTATAATTTGAATCACCATGTTATAAGCATTATCTAAACAATATGCACCACACGGTCGAAAACATAATAGCCATCAGCGATGAACACACAAAGTGTTAGACCTTACACAATCGTCGTTGCATTATCGCAATATTACATTAGGGCTTCATTAAAATTATGTTCGAAAAATGATGTAAGAATATATCTGCCGTGTGCGGTCAGTGGGCGAATACCGCGTTCTGATTATTATTGGTGATAAAGTCATATGGGAAACTTTCACTGCACCCACGCTTTACAATTGAGAAAAGGTTACATACGCTGGCAAAACGTTCAAGTTCTATATTATCATCCGTCGTTGTCTTCTTCGAATTGCCGATTACCGTGATTTAATCTTAATGTAGTCTGTAATATTGTGATATTGATAAATTGACTTCTGCTTTCGATTTGCGAAATACTTTTTAATATCAATGCGCAATTTTGAGTAAGTTGGGGTTGAAATCTGTCCAATAATAAAAAAAAAGTCTAACCCATCGTGTTCTTCTTAGGTTTTTATTTTTTCAATCATTTTTTGTGAAACTGTCAAGTATTTTTCAGTTTTACAATCCTGGTTAAATGCGCGAATCTATAATGAAATTTCCCAACATACTTCAGTACATTGTTTTAAACGATGGCCTTTTAAAGTCAATCAATCATCAATTTAGAAAATTTTAAAATCATAGTTTGAAAAAATAGTCCCAATTTTGAAAAAAATGTGTTTCTACTATGTTACTTACGGTTACGGTTCTAAAGTTTAAATGAATAACAATAATAAATATGAACTACAATAACCGAAAAATTATCACAGTTTGACCGAAGCTCCAGGCTTGTTAAATGTTTATTATAATTATTTTTCTAACGTAGCTCGCTAATGTAATTCAACCTACGTTGAAGTACTTAAAGATGAATTTTCCAGAAGATGCAAAGACTTTGAAGCTCATGTGCCTATATTTTCCTACCTCATAAAACCAGATTTAATAGATCCATCAATAATACCGTTTGATTTGTTGATTTTCGAATGGATTAATGTTGATAATTTTGAAATGGAAGTTATCGAACTAATATCTTCAGAATTATGGAAAACAAAATTAGAGGAATTAAAGGAATTACAAAAAAATCTGGAAGATGACTCTATGGAGAAATCGACAGCCATATTAAATTGTTGAATGACATTGCCGGAAAAAAATTAATTGTTTAAAGAAAATTGTATGCGCTCTCCTTTCAGCTTTTGGTTCCACATATCTCTATGAACAAATTTTTTCTCACATGAAATATATTTGAGTTCACAAAGAAATCGTTTAACAACTAAACATTCAGAATCTTGTGTGAAATTGAAAGTTACAAATTATACCCCGGATATTGAAATGTTAAGGAAAAATATGCAGGCACAAGGTTTGCATTAAAGTTGTTTAGTTTATATGAGAAATTTATGTTATTTGTTAATAAATATGTTTAAAAGATAAATTTGGTTATAATTCTTTTCCCCTAGAACCTAACTATATATTTATTTTTTATTTATAAAATTAAGGCGGCACTCTAAATCATATTGGTAGAGTGGCTTGGCACACTACAGTTAAAAGCTTGCCGACCCCTGTTCTAGACTGTATTTAAAAGCTTATAGTTTTTAAAATGCACGGGATGATGTTTCACCATTTTTTTTTCATGATAGTTACTATTATTACTATCTAGCACACTGTGTATATGAGGAATTAGTAACCAGAGTGGACCATCGTAAGTTGAACTGAACGCCGTTAAACCGCATGTCGAAAAATTTGCTATTTATTGAAATGAGATAATATTATCTCCAATTTGTTGTACTTGATTTTTTCATTACAATAAAGTAATTTTATAATAAAATAAGTCCACTGTGTCATTTTGTCCACGTTTTTCCGTTTTTCTCTACTGTATAAGTAGACGTTTGTGCAAAATACTTTTTGAACGATTTGTATAGGGTATATTTGTTAATACAATTCACCATAAATTCTGGAATATAAATATTAAAAATAATTTTCATTAATTTTTTATATTTTATTATATGATTAATTGTACCACATAAAATGTCACGCATGGTAAGATACGCTGCTACAACCATATAAATTAATATCTATTGACAATGTAATTGAATTAATAAGACTTGACATAAAAAGCTACGCTAGCGCAACGCAACTGTAATTATATATATATATATATATATATATATATATATATATATATATATATATTGCATAATGAAATAATTAGTGCATATCATGCAAATATTGAATCTTCATATATCTTATTCTATTCAGGCTAAGTCTACGATAATATTTTCAACTTCCCGTTTTGGTTTTCATAAAAAAATCCGACTTGCTAATTTTGTTTTCACGACGTTTCAATTCCTAATTTGAATCGAATGAGACCAAATTTTGAAAAAGTTTGTCTCCGCGGGCGTGTGTGTGTGAACCGATTTTTGAGCTTTACTAGATGTTTTTCTTAAAAAAAAACGGCTGAACTGATTCTAAAATTTAAGTTATCGTTTAACGAAACGATCAGTCAACCTGTCGATTTTGAACATTCAAAAACTATTCGAAAGATATCAGTTGGGAATCGTGCTGATTCGTTTTTGACAAGGTCGGTCGGGTCGTTCCGTAATCGTAATCAAATTTCCACTCGCGAATTCCGAGATTTATGTAAATTTTGCCGCCGAAGTGGCGGCATTCAAGTGGATAGGGTTAAAACAATTTTTTGCGTTTTTAATGAAACTTGCGATAATGAAAATGGAAATAGAAAATATGATATAAATGCACATCTTAGAATATTAGAGGCCTATGTAAAGTTATTGAATTATAAAATATTACTAAAGTGTGGTATAATGAGCCACGCTTTTTGCAGCATACAAGGGTGTCTTTGTGCACTATAGCTATATAATTACTATTAAGTTTTTTTTTAATATATAAATTCAAAATTGCATTGATTAATCTTTAGTGAAAGCGAAAAGCCGATTTTTGAAATGGACAGTTGAAAGTTTTAGCTGAATAGATAAAAATCTGACTTCATAATGATTAAACAGTTTATTTACACATATCGTGAATTTTTACAACTATCCTAAAAGGACAACAAGTAAAACTTAGAAATAAAAATGAAGATTACAATACAAAATCATCTGCCCATTGCTGCATTGGCAATGATTTTGTTATGACATAGATTAATGTACAGTGAACAAATTTTGTAATTTGGCCGTGGTAGTATTATTTGTAGTTTTCTTGCAAGTGAATTTAGGCGAACTTTGAAGCGGCTTTTATTCTTGTCTAAATAAATTCCAATTTTATCTATCACTGTGCTCATGTCTGCGTCTTTATGGGTGAACCAATTTGAAACATACTTTAGGGCATTCGAGTTTTTAAGACAATTAATTTGGAAGCAAATCTCCATAGTTATATATCTGGGCTTAATAATGTTTTTGTATAAGTAAATTTTATCGAGTCAGCTACCTTGTTCGTAGAGAAAATAAATATCAGTATTTAAAACTGTAGGCCATACATTGAATTTAATTTAATTTGTCAATTGTATTGTCATAAGTATTTTGACGCTCATATATTCTTTTCTTTAGTTGCAGGCGCCCTTAAATTTAAGCACTCAGCGTGAACGAGCAGAAATTGGTCGCAGCGGGTCGCTTGCTACCCGACGACCTCCAACAAGAAGAAGGGATAAAATTCTTCACAACACACCAGAAATGACCGATACTTTCCGTGAAGAGTCTCCAGTATCTTTCAATCGAGTTGAAATGTCGGATAATAAACAGTCTGCTGAGCAGAAAGAAATTTATCGAAGCAACTCCACAGAAGATCTATCAAGCTTAGAAAAATTTAATGATGAATACGAACAAGTTGGAGAATGGAGACGTGTTTCGAAAATACGGCGTTCTTTACAATTACGCGGAAAAGCTGCAACAAATACTTACACGTCCAAACCTATCGATCTGCCTAGCATTCCAGGTTGTGTATCTAAAATCCGACAAGAGCTTGAAAACAGTACAAGTGTAAAACAGCCAGTTCCTATAAAATATATTAGACCCAAGAGGCATACGTTTATCACTATGGACTCACTGCTAGACGTGCGGGGTCACCTCAGAAAGTCATTACCTGTTAATGAAATGACGAATTCAAATAAAAAGAGTTTAGAAGATGAGAACGATGATGGGATTGTAGTACGAGGAGATTTAGATTCTGATGTCAAATCTGGCCCTGTTCGTACGTACGTATATGGTATGGAAAATGCGGCTAATAACGGCACAGGAAGTTTAGAGACGCGTCGCGCAAGGGACACTGAAGATTGGCATGCTCGTCGCAAGTCGTATGGTTTTGAGGGCGTGTTAGCCGCTGCTCCTGTCTCTACATCTATGGTTCGATCGGATACGTCTACGGACAGCGGTATATGCAGGTCTACGGAATTGACTAATGGATTATTTGACGGGCGCAGCACTGTGGTCACTTTAGGCCAAAATTTTGATCGCCTAAATGGTGTCACTACTATACCCATAACTCTCAGTAAGACGTCAACTCCTATAAACAACAACGAACATGGCTTTTATCGTCAGACATCTGAAGACAAAAACGATACTGACAAAAAAGATATTGCGGATCTTGCTGAAAATGAAGACGATATTTCAAGTACAAAGAGAGGCAAGAAAGTTGAATTTTGCAAAACCGAAGTACACTTTGCCGCAGATAGTGGCCGCGTAAATATTGTAGAGACTGATGGTAAACCACCACCAACTCAAAATTTTAGAAGACGCCGCCGCATCACTTCCATTGGTAGTGCGATGAGCCCAGAATCAAAATCTAATCTACCTGTTATTCATTTTGGGGACGACGAGCAGAACAAACTTGTACCGGAGACAAGTGGCGAAGCAGATAGCTCATTTAGAAACGTAGTAAAAGTAAAGCCTGTTCGACCTAGATCATTCCATATGGGCGACACAACGACTAGTATTGGAGACAGTCTTTGGGGAGTAAAACTGCGTCACGTTTCACCCGTTCACAACGAAACATTACAAAATGAAATTGAGCAGCATTCGACTTTTGAAAAATCTTCCGAGACTTCGGTTATTGATAATTGTCAATGGTCTTCAGTTGCAGATCGTGTGCGTGCAGTTGAGCACAGAAGAAGCCTAGGATTTTCAACAAAAGTCAATTTCGGTTCTGGGGAACCAATTGTAGAAAGTAGAGGATCCATTAAAGGTAGGATGCATTATGAGATTTGCTTTTATGTGATTAGTTTTGCTTTAATATGGTTAGGTTTGCTTTAATGTAGTTAGTAATTTTGTAACTTTAGAAACAGTATATATTGAATAACTAGCCTTGCTATACTATTGGTTACGCAAGTTTATACATGATTTTTCAGTGTTCTATTTTAATTTATTGGTAATAGTATTATTTAGGTGGATTGTGACAAATATAACATGCTTAACAATGCTTCAAGTGGTTATAAATTTATTTTACATAAAAGCTTGTATTGTATTATTGAACTAGAATATTAAATATACTAACCTGATGCCATTTTTTTATCATTAAGTATTATTACATTTACAAGTGGTGTTGTAGCTTATGTAGAAATATAACATATACGATATAAATATGTTAGAAACAAACAAACTTTATGGTTTTTATTGATGCTGCGTTGCTGTAAGAAGGTTCTTTATATTTATGGTTTTTGTGCTTATTCCTAATCCGCATTTATTATAAATAATCCAGCATACAATGGAATTTGGGAAACAATGTATGAACTATCGCATAAAAATGCGAGCTTTACACGCGCTTAGCTAAATCAATGGTACAACAAATCGTAGCAAGCATAATTCTTCAGACATTTAAAAGTACAACGATTTTCAGAGCGACAAATAGACCAGCCGTCGACTACGAATACGACGACAAAAATTAGTATTGATCTCACACCTGCATATAGCAATAGCACAGTGGATGGCAATCCATTTTCAAAATTTTCTAGTACCGTCAGTGATTTGAAATCAACATCGCTGATAATGCGCACGATAAACACTACGAACGAAACGAACGGACATGCTGTTCCTCAGCCAGAGCACTTATTCACTCATTTAAATCAGTTGAGACAGTTGTACGAAGACGCGGATAGTGACGACAGCGCTCGAGCTGATGAAGAAGTCAAGGGATACTTGGGACAATTGCACAATAACGATTCACTAGATCGTCGAATTTCGGCTGAAGCTGCGGAGAGTAATTTGGGAACCACTGTATCTGGAAGCTGGAGCAGGATTAAAACTTACAGACAACAGAATCATAAAAATCGATATCATGACGATTCAGGTATTATTAGTACAATTTGTGATCATACGGTATTAGCAAGGCTTTTTGTTCAATAAAAAAGAATAAGTGTAAACTTCAAAGATAAATTAATATTTTATTTCGATATTTATATTGATATCATTTTACATTTACAATGTAAGGAATTAATTTCTTAAATGCCGATTGATTGATTGATTGTTTTAAATAATTTATATTAAATAAGTATTTATTATAATGTTAAATTTTATACTTGATAGTGATTATTTACTAACTGCGTTTTCATAGTTACTATTTTTTGTATAAAAGTTTTACTTATTTTTACACTTTCAAAATATATTTTAGGTCGAACTTCACAAGACTGGAATAATATTCATCCAGCCAAGCCATCTTCGGAATCTTCTTTGCCGCAATTGTTAGTAAGCCATAGCGATAATAAAGTCGAAGAAATAAAGTCACCAACAGCACATATGAATTCTATTGATGATTTTCCAACAGAAAATGTTAAATATATTGATAAACCCAAAAAAATAGAAATAGGGCCAATTCCTTCAATAATTGAAAGAAAGGACAATCTTCGTCGTTCTCTTGATCGCAATAATATCTGCAGTTTGAAAGTATCACGATCGAAATCGCCTCGTGCGAATTCGCCTCGCGGCAAGTCTCCCAATTCAAGTTCTACACGACTAAGTCCCATTCAGAAAAAATCTCCTTTGCTTGGAACGCCAAAGACAAAAATCAGGAGAGAAAAATCTCCAAATAAATCTCCAAATAAATCTAGAAGTAAATCGCCAAATAAATCGCCAAACGTGAGAAAATCTGCGTCCTCAAATAAAACACCAGTTAGTGCTAATATTGAACTAAAAATTCCTAGTACCTTTAGTGGTAGCCCGTACAGACAACTACGTGGACGCGAACTTGCATATTTTGGCGTAAATTCAAATAACCGTATATCTAATAATAAGAGCACCGCCAAAACTGCAACGAGCAAAAATAATGACAAAGTAGATGATTACGTTAATATATCGAAACCTAGTGATAATCTTAAAACACCAATAAATAAGCAAAAAATCGATAAATCACTTGAAAAGATGAAGTCTCCAGATACAATCAAATCTAAAGATACAAATGCAATTTATCAAAATGTTACGGGTATTACAAAATTGACAAACGGCGTTAGTAACGCAAATAAGATGAACGGGGATGAGACATTAAAAGTTGCGGAAGAAATCGTAATAACTTCGAATAACCATTCCGGATATAATGAAAAGTCTCCAGCTATCACAGAAACGCCGAAAGGACGTGGTCGTGAAAGAGTCCTTAACGATGAAGGCGTACAAGTATCACGCGGATACAGGGAAAACCAAAGAAGGTGCCAACAAAATACGTCTTCCAAAGGTAAATTATTTACTTTTCTTAGATTATAATTTTATAGTATTATTGAAATTAAAAAATTGACGAATTTAAATAAAAACTTCTAGAAAATACTTTTATTATTTCATATATTAGTTTGAGACTTTTTATTTGTCTTTACCTTAAACACAATACATCATATGTTAAATTTAACGTTTGTTTATTGTATAACGTAGGATTATCACCGCATACTTCACCAAACAAAAGATCTCCTTCATATCCGGTTGCGCTATCATCTGCTGATTCTATAGACCGTCCGAGAACTAAAAGACGCAGTAAAGAATCTTCAGCTTCAACTTTATCACCAGAGAAACAGAACGGCGTCGATGCCAGCGATCTTGCCAATTCTCTTAAACATTTAACTATGAGCTCTAACCAGCAAGATGCCCACAATCAGCGAACTAGCCGACGACATCATATACAACGAGTAAGCAGTCGTGAGGCTCTTCTAGAGGCAACACTTGATAGTTCAGAGGATGAACAACAGATTAAAGATTCTGGAATAATTAGGCGGTATCGCAGACACGAACGCTCTTGTGATAGGTAAATATTTTTTATCCTACTGGACTAATAGATTAGTACTTCAGTCAGAATCTGAATTCATTATATCAATTTTTATTATTTACAATCTGTAGGCGAGCTCCGATACCAGAATATCATCATAAAACTGTCACCTCAACTATTAAGAGTGTTGCAGAGAAAGCAGCAGCAAAATCGACTAAAAAAATATCTGAAAGGCATACAAGTAATTATAATTTATTAATGTTATTTGATATTAAAATTTAGTTCATTAGTAAGTAAATAATATAGAACAATAAGATATATCAATTACATCAAAGATGTGATATTAGCCCAATATTATTTGTAATCACACGAAAGATGTTCGTTTGGAATAATATGTTTAAATATTATAAATAATACGATTATTAACTTCCCGAAGGAAAAGTTTATGTTTTGATCAAAAAATCCGATTCGCTAATTTTATGTTTTCTCGACCTTTTAAGTCACAAGTTGTTTAATTTTAAAAATTCTTCAGTTTGCAAAAATTAGTATCGTTTTTTTGGCATTTGTCAAACCTAGACCTTCCATCGACGTTTGCTCAAAAATGCTTGGACCGATTTCAGAAATTTAAAAGCTATTTGATGTACCTCAATGAGGACTATCGTTTGTCAGTTTTGTGCGACGATCTGCCAAGCCATTTCTTTGAAATTTGGAAAAAAGTGCTAAACTTTTCGTATACATTTAAGCTGATACTACCGAATCGATTTTAAATAATCAAAAACTGTTCGAAAGATATTAGTTGGGAATGATACTGATAAGTTTTAGGTGAAAATCTACCGAGCCGTTTTCTTATAATTAACTGTTGAAAAAATAAATTAAGCCGATTTGTTTGAAACTTTTTTGGCGATATATATCATGGTCTTATAGAACTTACTTAAATATTACGGTCTTCATCAACGTTTGAGAAAGTGAGTAGTTTTTTTGACGTTTGTTAAAATTAAAATTAGACGATTTACTTGGTATAGCGATAGAGTACTTGGTCATAATAAACAAACTAAACCATTTGAGTCCAACGAAAACTGGTTCAATTATAAAAAATATTGATTTGTCAAAATTTGCTTTTAGAAAATACTCCGAGTTAACGTGTTTGTTCGTTTTCAATTATGTGTAATGAATCCACTAGAAATACTTTAATTGCTCATAAATTAATTTATTTTTTATTGATTAAGTCGATTATTTACACATATCAGGAAGTTCATGTAACTTGCCTCAAGGCAAAATACCAATACCAACTAGTTTATTTTAAATGTGTTGTAAAAAAAAAAACTCATAATTTTAACTGTGACCACATTACATTTACAATTTTTTAAATTTTAAAAAGACCCTATGGGTGCATAAAAACTTATTAATTGTGTAATAAGATGGATTCAATGCAACTAGAGTAACACGAAATTTGAAAAATACGATTCGAAATCTCCACAAATTCGCAGGTAGCAAGTCTACAGGTGGACGCATTAGAAGCAGCACCAGGACATCTTCTGGGCCAGCGTACGTAAATGGAATAGAATGGCCCAGGGACAGGAGGTCCCTACTTACGGGCTGCCTATGCTCATAGCCAACTATCTGCGCGCGTAGCTTGGACCCGCGCGCTCTTCCCAATGTTAATTTCGTTCAACATTTCGAAATTGAGTTATTTCAGTACGATCTTTTATTTACGAATAGACGTGCCACTTCAGATCGATGCTTTTACTTTTTTTGAATTTATTTTTTAATAATATCACGTTCTGCACTTTACTCGTGTCACTTAAAAGTTTATTTTTTAACAGCGCAAATGTTTTAACCGTTGCGAATTATTCTGCATTGTGTCATTATTAATTACTATTAATATATATGTTAATTACTATTTACTATTATATATTAATTACTATTAATATATATGTTCGAAGTAATTGTTAGTTGTTATGATAGCTAGTACCTACTAAATATACCACACAAACGTGAGATCTTATTGATAGTTTTTATCTGATTGTGTGCAAATACATTTTCAGAAAATATCTGAAATATTGGCACTAATTCTCTGTTGTCGTTCTTTTGCGCAGCCGACAAAGCTTTTTAATGGTCAAAAATAGAAGTTTAAACTAATTTAAAAAATAAATTGCAGTTAGTTATTTTTTATTAAAAATTTAAAAACATATTCAAACTATAATGCAATGTTGAAGTTCTAGCTTTTTTATTTGTACATATTTCTATATATATTTAATTTTATACTATATTTCAAGATCATTAAGATATTTTTTAATTCGATATGGATATAGGCTAATTCTTTATTCGCAACGTTAAAATTATCGCTGTTATACAAACTGCTATAAAAAACTGATTATTTTATTACAACAAGAATTAACAAATATAAAAATAAATCAATAAATTCAAAATAATAATAATAATAATAATACTATTTATATGATTTTTATTGCAGAGCATTTGATCTGGCATGTATCTGTATTAGATTCGAAGTAGTATTGCTCATTTAATAGTATTCATTATCATTTCAAAAATGTGTTTACCAAAATTCATGCAGGAAGTATGCATAGTTTCATTAAAATAAATTCTGTACATAAATTATTCAAAACCTAATTAGTAAGCTTTAGAAACGTTGAACATTGTTTACACTCTGCCTTCTCTATGGTTATATTCATTGTTACTGCTTTTAACAGTAAGCAAAACCTCGAGTATTGATTGATTTCAGCAACTCAGTAATAGTAATTGGATAGGATAATAATTATATTATTAACCTTATATAACATAATCAAATGTAGCCAATTGTATTACTTTGTAACGTCTGACTTTGACTGTGTAGAACTTAACAATTATCGTATTTACTCACTCATTCGAGCTTTTAGTGGTGGTGTTCAATTAATATTAAAATGAATTGTGGAAACTTAACAATTTTTTAAAATAACATTTTGAAATGAGCAAAAAATGCATTATTTCTATTTCATATTGTTATTGACGTAGAAATAAATATTTGAAATGCGCTCGAATATTGGGCACCATTAACTAATTGTAAGATTAACATGATTTTATTACATATTAAATTAAATAATAATTCTTCTGCTTCCGCGCGGGTTCAAGCTACGCTCGTATCGCTTCTTTAATAATTTATACTAATAGCCATATAACATTTAATGAAAAAAGTGATTCAGTTCTAACTATTTTATATCATTTCAGGAACGGAAAAAAACGATTATGGAAATGATGTTCTCATCTAATACTAGTCTCTTATGCGGCGGACATTTTACGAAACAAACTCCAACAATAAATCATAACAGATAATATTTTTATACTGCATATTTTATTTCACACGAGCAATTTTTATATGTTTAAAGAAAGCAAACATAGTGATTTTTAGTGATTGGTTTTAAACCATTTCTTTATAATTTTTCTATTCAATTGTAACTAACAATTATATATTTATTTTTTCCATTTATATTTTAAAACATAATTAAATAATAATACATTCATTTTTATAATGCATTTATGTATTGATAGCTTTGAGCTATTATTCTTATATTAACTTAGGTAAACTAGCTTTTTAATATGATAATTTTGTTATTGAATTTATTTTAATCATCCAAAACTATAAATATGTTATAAATAAATAAAGCTTTAAAACTATTTTTTCTTTTATTGAAAGTGTAAAACAAGTAATATGGAATTTTATAAAAATAATTGTTTAGATATGTATTTTTCAATATTATCGTAGAGTATTTTATTGTTTTATACTTACTATCAAAATTTAATGGAGCGCTCCATTAAATTTTAACACAAATGCAAGAGTAATAAATCTTGCATGAAGGGAAGCAAAGCGCTTTGCTTCCCTTTATGCTAGATGTATTACTCTTGCATTTGTGCCCATATTAAAAATTAATTTAAAAAATATTTAGACTATAAATATTTGAATAATTATGAAATTTTAATTATATTGTCTTTGGGTCATTTATTTTAGATTCTGTTCAATATACATAGTTGTCTTCGAGGACGATGTATCGATTATAGCAAACTTCAAACTTTTCGATACCATTTTTGTAGTACGATTTATTTTTTGCCCCAAATTTTATTCGACGAAAATTTTTTTACAGCAAGCTTTCTTTTGAGATTTGAGAACATAAAACGGTTGCTGGGGGGCTAGGTCTATAGAGAATACGATAAGTGGGGAAGCAAATCGTAGCCCAATTAATGCATTTTTTCCATTGTATTTCCTGATATGTGACATGGTGAAACAACTCTTTTTTAAACAGAAGCGGCCGATTTTCTTGAATAACCTCCAATAACCTTATGCAATAGGCACTGTTGATAGCATGGCTTTTCTTAAAATATTCAATAAGAATTCCAAAAAACTGATTGTTCGCATTTTTTCTCGGTCATCGCGTCTAGTCTACTCTGCTGACTTTCTATTAGAATCTGAAGTGTAGTGGTAAAGCCAGGTCTCATCCATGGTAGCATATCGATACAAACACGGTTTTATTTTGATTAAATAGCTTTAAAAACACTTTCCAATAGTCAACTCATTTTGTTTTTGGTTTAAGATGAGCTTGCGCAGCAGTCATTTTTTACAGAGGTTTCTTTTATCCAAATATTCGTGAACGATATATCTAACGTTAGATTTAGATGTACATGTCGTTAGGCTTTTTTGCTCAGAGCCACCGTTTTAAAGATATATCACTCTGAAAAGTACATTTGAACGCCACCTACGAGGTAGTGTGCTTAGCTCGAAGGTGGCGTTCGAAAAAGAAGAAGAAGGAGTAGAAACATTTGAAAATTATGACTCCCATGATCAGTTGCTTTTTTATAATTACTCACAAATATTATTTGGCAAGTATTCCGAAAAAAAAACAAAATCACGGCAGACCCGTAAAATAGGCCTACTGGGAAAACCACGTAAAAAACCGAGCTAAGCACACTACCTCGCAATTTACAAGGTGGATTGCATTTGCATTTGATTCTGATGCAGACTCATCTGAGTAATTGTTTCTAAGGGATTATATCATTACTAGAACCACTAGTAAACATCCAATTAAATGTTTTGTAAATTCATGATCTAATATTACCCTAATATCATAGTATTTTGAGTATTTCAATGTTTTTGGCAAATAACTTTTTTTTATTTATTTATTTATATATATATATATATATATATATATATATATACATTATTTTCATCTCAGTGAGGCAGAGTTGCCTGGTATGAGAGATTTTGAAAAACAGTTTTCATATAATATATACATTTCATTTGACTATAATATCTATTTCATTAATTAACTCTTCGGTCTTCTTTGTCTTCAATTTCCTTATAGTATTTCTTTATTTTTCTTTTAAATTTATGGTCATCATCATTGGTCATCTTAATATCTTTTGGCAATTCGTTATATATTTTGCTAGCACTCCATATGACATTTTCTCTGATATTCTTCTTTCTATTGTGTTCAATGTGAAAATTGTTGTGTTGTCTAGTGTAGTGTTCATGTATATCTTGATTTATGTCTATTGTTGCGCTTGTTTTAATTCGGTTAAATTTCATTTTGTGTATTAGTTTGCATTTCTCTATTTTAATTATGTTATTTAGTGAATGATTATTTGTTTCTCTCTGTAAATATTTGGTGGGTGTTAGATGTGGAAAATTATATGCTATTTTTGTGGCTTTATTCATTATTCTCTGTATGTCATTTAGGTTAGCTTTAGTTGTTTGGCTCCATGTTGTTATTCCATATAAAATTATAGGTATTATTTGCGTTTTAAGAATTAGTATTTTATTTTTTTTTTGCCGAAAGAGTGGATCCTTTTCAATGCCCCTGTTAATGTTCCTATTTTTCTTTTTATTTTGTTTATATGTTCTGTCCATGTCAATTTTTCATTTATTATCAGTCCTAAGTATTTTATGCTTTTCACTTCTTCTATTTCTCTATTATTTACTTTAATATTTAGTTTAGGGTTCTCGGTATTTTTTCTATGTTTGAAATATATGTATTTTGTTTTATTGATGTTAATTGTTAGTTTATTTTCAGTTAGCCAGTCGGCGTATGTTTTCATGTCCGTGTTTATTGTATCTTCGAGCCTTTTTTTTGTCCTTATCTGCATATACTATGGCAGTATCGTCTGCATATAATATGTATCTGCCCTTTAATTTTACATCTTTAAGGTTATTGGTATATAACAGATATAATAAAGGTCCTAATACAGAACCTTGTGGGACTCTACAAGTTATGCTACGTCCTCCACTTGTGAAATTTCCCACCTTTGTCCTTACCACCCTTTCCATGAGAAAATCTTTAATTATGCTGTAATACAAACTCACTACACCCAAATCTATTAATTTATTGAGTAATATGCCATGATCTACAGTGTCGAAAGCTTTTTGTAAATCAATAAAAATTGCAGCTGTCTGCATATTTTCCTCAAGGTGCTGACTGATGGTATTAGTCAAATCTATTAGGGCACCTTGTGTATTTGATGAAGGGAGGAAACCATATTGATATTTATCTATTTTTTGAATGAGCAAATTTAGTAATCTTTCTTTAATTATTTTTTCATATATTTTGCAGAATGTATTAGTTATTATAATGGGTCTATAATTATTTGGATCTGTTTTGTTTCCTGTTTTAAAAATTGGTTTTATTGTAGCTGTTTTGAGGCACGATGGAAAAGTACTCCTTTTTATGCAGTTATTGATTAAAAAAGTGAGTAGAGAGGAGCTATTTGATAAATTAGTTTTTTATAATTCTTGCTGTTATTTTATCTTCTCCATGTGCAGCGCTGTTTTTCAGGTTTTCCACAATTTTTATTATTTCTTTTTCATTTGTTAATTCAAAATTTTGTTTTTTGTTTTCAGGTCTAGATATTGATGATATGTAGTTGCATTGATCTAGTTTTTCTTGTAGTTTTGTTCCTATTTCGGCAAAATGCTTATTGGATACTCCGCAATGTTTTCCTTTTCCGTAAGAAATATGTTTTTATCTTGATGTTTAATTTTTTTAATACTGTCTTTATATTCATTTTTATTATATAACTTGCATATAAACTTCATATATTACATATAACTTATATATAAAAATCATTTCAGATTTAATTTTGCATTGAGTATAATAACATCAACAAACATAACAAAAGAACATCGTGAAAACAAAATATAGTTAAATATCTCCTTTTCAAAAAAACATTTTTTTTGTTATGTGTGGCGATGTTATCATATCGCACACTAACTCGTAGGTGGCGTTTAAACGTACTTTTCAAAATGATATATCTTTAAAACGGTGGCTCTGAGCAAGAAAAGTATTGATGCATTTTTTTTAAGATAATTTTATGCTCTACAATATTGTCTCAGATAATTTTGCGATAAAACTCATTTAGAGATCTCTCAGATCATTTAGCTAAAAATCGCAAAAGGGTAACTTCTTTTACCTTTGACCTTGTGCCATTTTTTGGCTCGCATCGGATCGATGAGGACTTTTGTGATTTCTTTTATAATTGTATTTTAAACAATTTTACCAAGTTACAGCCCATTATTAATAATAGTAACCTTGAATGCGTAAATTGACCGGTCTATGCAGTGATGTGGCACAATATAACATTTTGCTAAATATTTTTCTACAAATGAGAATGTTTTGTTTAACACAATTTGTAATAAACATTTAACCACTTTCTTAGTTGCACACAAATGATATAGCGAGCAACATCAGTTGCAGTTGAATTTCAACCGGATTCAACAGTTTTTTTCATCTTAAATTTAAGTGTGCTTCATTTGGTTACTAGCGTGCACCACAATATAATCATAGCGGCATTGTAATTTGTATGTCACCAGCATAGATAACAAAAAAAGAACAGACAAGTTTTCAAGTATGTATTTAAAAAATGTTTACTCTTTGTAAACATTGATTAATTATTGAATTGTTAAAGCTTAATTGCAATTATATTTTTTGTCAGCAATATTAGAAAAAATACTTTAAATCAATTCTAAATTGAAATATTTTTATGTGCTTTTTATGCTTTTTGCATGCATATTCTTATATAATTAGACAGCACTGAGTTTTGTTAACTATGAATTTCTATTGCTATTAATTAATTTGATAATGGTATAACAATCATTTTTAGGTTTCATATAATCCGCTGTGCATTAATTGCGTTACTATCAATAACAAACAGCTGATACTAAACATGGCTGAAAATGTCATTTGCTGTAATAAAAATGAAAAAACTTGTAAAAATTTATTTAAATTGATTATATTATAATAAGAAACATGTAGAAATTAAAATTTAATTAAGAAAGTAAATACGATAATTTAGTGCAAATTTTATATTTATTTTTTATGTTTACTTAGTGTGCATGTGAAAAAATGGCTCAATGTACTTTGAGTCCTCAAGAATTTATTCAAAATTCTTTTTCGCCCGTTCTTGGGGCTATGTGCAGTGACCAAGCCGAACAAATATGCAAGAAAAATAATTTAAGTTTTGTAGAGCTTGTTCAGCCGTTTTGCAAAATCAACAATGACGGTACAATCTCATATTTATAATTTGTCATTTTCCACATCATTAACAAATATTCAAAATTTCAGCGTATTTTCAAGATCCTTCAGGAAATAAAGTAATTGTGAAGAATTTAAAAGTGAATGTGCAAGATGTTAATGCGAGACCTCCACAACCAACATTGGCACGAAAGATGCTCAATGATTCTGTTGCGTCAGGAACATGTGATAGAACGTCTACTATTCATCTTGGTATAAGATTTTATTGTAATATTAGTTCAGTTACTTTTGAATTTTCAAATAGAAAATATAATAACATCACCACACATAACAAAAGAACATCATTTTTGAGAAGGAAATATTTAACTATATTTTGTTTTCATGATATTCTTTTGTTTTGTTTCTTGATATTATCATACTCAATGCAGAATCAAATCTGAAATAATATTTATATGTAAGTTAATTGCCAAAAACAATGAAATACTCAAAATACTATGATGTTAGGGAATACTTGTCCTGGAACAATTAAATTTCTCGAATTTAAAGTGCATGAGCAACTGTTTGTGATTTTCAGTTAATTTTTTTTTTTTTTTTATTAATTTATAGGCGAACTTGACTTAGTGCTGCCATCATCATTGCCATGGTATGAATCTTGGAGAGATATGTTTTTTCATGTACAATTTCCATCAGATCATGAATTTACAAAACATTTAATTGGATGTTTACTAGTGGTTTCTAGTAATGATAATAATCCCTTAGAAACAATTACTCATATGAGTCTACAACTGAATCAAATGCAAATTCAATCACCTTCTAAATTGCCAAAATGGTTTAGTAAGTTTATTTAATTATCTTTAAAATGAGAAGGTTTAAAATGATGCTTTATAACTTATTCAAATTTTAGGTACCAATATTTTGAGAATCTATGTTTTGATTCATGATAAAACAGATGGTGAAGAGGAGAAGTATGTTGATGATCTAATTGGAATCTTGCATGCAACATATGAGTCTTCAATAATATATTCTTAAATTCAAACGAAATTTACTTGAAATAATAATTTAAATATTCAATTATTATTAAAAAGTTGCATCAGTATAAGTATTAGTAAACACTATAATATCACATGAAATATATTGTCATTGAGGCTAATCAAATTTTTGAGATTTTTTTTTGAATTGCAAGCAAGAAATTCATTGAAGTATGAATGAAATCAATTAATCCTAAACTTATTATGTTTATGAAATTTTTAGGGCACAACGGCACTTTGAAAATATGAAACAATCGTATGGGGTAAATCAGTGTTTTTTATTGCAAATCAACTCCCGACCTTTTGGACAAGAATTAAATGCTCATTTACCAGATCCATGGAATCAATTTTTGACGAAAAGGGTTGATGGACAAGTAAATGTAAATATTTTGTTTAATATTAAGTAGCATTCTACCATTAGTACACTCATTTTCATTTATTTATTATAGTTTTTCTTGATTATTTGTTCAATATATGTATAGCAATGCTATTTTGTTTACTCGACAATTAATATGTATTATTATTTAGGATACAGGTAGTGATCAAGATAGCAGTCCTCGTACACCAGTAGAACCTATGAGTATGATGCCTAATTCAGTTCAAATGGATACACCTATTGGCACCCCTCATACTAACAGTTGTCCTTCTAGTGGACCACCAAGTAGTCCGCCCACTCCATTACCTCAAAGAGCAGCAGCAGTACCTTCTGAAACAGTTTTTATTCATCCATTAAGCCCTGATATGGAAACAACAGGTCTTCCAGGAGATTTAAATCAGGTAAAAGAGAATGTGAATTTAAATATGGAAAAATGCTTCAGTTTATACATTATTCTAAAAACAGTTTTTTATGTAAGTGTTTTATGTCTTTATGGATATTTGTTTACGGATGTTATAGTATTCAGTTGTAGTAGATTGTTTGATTCAAGCAGCAGTTGAACATCCCATTCGATTCGCTATTTTGTCTCTTTAATGTTTGTCGACAAAGTTTGAACTTTCATAGTTTCTTAGTGAGAGCAAGTCACAGCCTAGTATGATTTCAAGGGTGTGTTACTCATCACTTGAATTTGGCATACCATAGACTTGCCTTCAAACAGAATACCATCAATAATAATAATAAACTTTTGCAGGGTAACGCATTATCCACCAGTACTGATAGTTTGACCGTGAATGGTGGGTTCAATAATATTGTCAACAAAAATGTTTGGAATTCAACTCCAGCTCAAACACAGCAAATTGTTCATGGTGCTTGTCTTGATACAACAGATTTGGAAGCCTTAAAATGTTTTGTTCAAGATTTTGCTGTTCGAGCATTAATACCGTATGCTGAACAGCATATAAGCAGTATTAATGATATAGTAAGTACAGTTTATACCTTGTTGATATCAATTAGTAGCCAAGCTATCTCTAGAAAAGAACTATTTCCTTTACAAGTTTTTTATGCCAAATATGCCAAACTGATTAAGCATTTAAGATGTTATGTAGATAAGTATAAAGTCAACATAAACATGAAATGCCTTTGATAAGAATATTTTGTCTCAAAATTATATATTAATAGGTGTCAAATAGAAAAGCTGTTAGTAGATCAATATTTAGTGCTACAAAACGTTGGTTTGGAACTGGTAAACCAGGACAAGCGCCCTCAGCAAATGCAGTCATGTAATATATATCTGATAAATATAATCATTATTTATTTATATATTTCTACTTTTTATTGTCATTATCAGATATTCTGCTGATTCACCCGAACTTCAGTTACGGAGATTGGCTGACCTATGTTTTATGTTTCAACATTATGGAATGGCATTTCAAGTGAGTTAATAACAAGTCAGGTTCATAATATTTTAAACTATTTACGTTAACAATGATTTTAAATTCCAAACAATTATCAATGTTTGAAGAAGCTATGGGCAAAATTTTTACAATCTGATCAGAGGGATTTGATAACTTGTTTTTTGTAGTCTTAGTTTTGATAACATTTAAACTGATCTGCATTTTTAAGGCATATCATTCTGCAAAAAGGGATTTTAGTGCAGATCAAGCTTGGTTACATTATGCTGGTGCTTTAGAAATGGCTGCATTATCTGCATTTATGCAAGGTGAATCCAATAGAAAAACATGTGATTATATGGAAGAAAGCATTAACATTTATTTAAATTGTTGCAAGTAAGTTTTTGTTGTAATAAAATTATTTCTGATTATAAAATGAATGGGTATTAATATCTATATATATATATATAATATATATATATGGTATGTTACATTAAATGGGCAAATATTAATATTATATTAATATAATATTTTATTTATTATCACCCTGAGCTGTATGTTGCAGTATTGGTGACAAAATGCTTAGTACTGTTGCAATGTACTATAGCAAAGGTGGTAAATTTATAATCAATAAGTCTTTTACACATATTTCAGAATGCCTCAATTTGCAACTCGCGCAACATTACTTAGTTCGGAGTATTTGAAATCTAAACAACAATATATTGAAGCTGCTAAACAATTAATTCGAATGACTAGTGAAGATTCTGATTTAAGATCAGCGTTACTGTTAGAAAAGGCAGCTTATTGCTTTTTAAGTTCTTTAAAGCCTCGAATGATAAGGAAATATGCATTTCATATTGTACTAGCGGGTCACCGCTATTCAAAATCTGGACAAAAGAGGCACTCATTACGTTGTTATAAACAGGCTTATCAGGTTAGAAATTTTAGCATATAATAATATCTAATTTAATGTATTGTGTATTTAAATAAACTTATTTTATCTAATTTGATAATATAATAATCCAATGCAGGTTTATGAAAGTAGGGGATGGAGACTAGCAGAAGACCACATAAATTTTACTATTGGCAGACTAGCAATTAATTTAAATCAAGGTTCAGAATCTGTAGAAGCTTTAACAAGGTTGTTGAGGCCAGGTAGTCAACAGAATGCCTCACAGCAGAGTGCTTTTCTTAAAGAGTTTCTCATTTCACATAATGTGAGTTACCAAAAAAAAAGTTTTTTTTACAAAATTTCTTTATATGAATAATTAAAAATATATATTATGTAAATATATATTATCAATTATGAATCTTTTTTTTAATTGATCAGCAAATTAAGTCGTCTGAAGAACCATCTGCTAGATTACCATTCCTTGCCTTACCAATCCTCATATCAGACAGCACTCATGTTCTCACTGCTCCTGCACCACCATTATCAACACCTGGTCAAGTATGTGCAAGCGGTACTCCACTGATTATAAGTGAGCCTGTTCAATATCAACATTTATGTGGACCATCACTCCCAGAAGCTGTGTCAAGTGATAAACTGTGGTCTAAATTAGAAGAGATATTAGTTCATCAGGCACAGGGTCAATTGCCTATGATTTTTAAACCTACTAATATACTATTCACAAGGGAGACAAATAATACAAGTAATCCAATTGCAGTTGTTAGCGGTGAGTATTATCTTTATTTATATGAATTAGTATCTTTATTTATTGAATCATTTCATTAAAATTTAGACATTTATTATGATCACTATTATTTTTTTGACCAGAGTCTATCGAGCAAATATCTAACAATATTTCTTGTTTTGTAATTGAATATATATATATATATATATATATATATATATATTAGGGTGGTCCTTAAAATGGTCATTTTCGAATTTCCTTGCTCCCAGGGGCTCAAATAGTTCCAAATAGATAAAAAACAATTCTCTGAAAGTTTTAGCTTTTAATATTAACGTTTAGATAGAGCGCAATTCAATCAAAGTTTTGTATGGAAACAGCATGGAAAATTTTTCAAAAATTTAAAAAATGTTTTTTAGATGTAATTTAGCGAACAAATGAATGAATAAAACTCATTCATTTGTCGCTAAGTTATACCTAAAACATTCTTTTTAATTTTTCAAATTTTTTTCCATGCTCTTCCCATACAAACTTTGATTGAATTGCGCTCTATCTAAACGTTAATATTAAGAGCTAAAACTTTCAGAGAATTGTTTTTTATCTATTTGGAACTATTTGAGCCCCTGGGAGCAAGGAAATTCGAAAATGACCATTTTAAGGACCACCCTAATATATATATATATATATATATATATATGCAAAATTATAATCATTCTTATTATATGATTTTTACAGAGCCAATTCGACTTTCTATTGAACTCCTTAATCCTTTATTGATACCTCTTCCGTTGAGTAACATCCAGCTACTATGGTCATTCACGTTTAACGACCCTCAAAATCCATCAAGCCCTGGTACAGTTTGCAATGAATCTCTATTGGCAACTCAGGGCAGTGAGCATTCAGAAGATTATTTGCAGAGTATTGTTTGTACTCAATGTGTGGATTCTATTGTTTTACCTGTTGATTGCTGTACTAGGATCTCATTGAGTTTAATACCTTTGCACGTAGGTGATCTGAAGATTACAGGTATTATATATATTTTTAAACCATTAGTAATTATTACAAAATGTTCTAATGATATTTAGATGTAGTACAAGTATTCATAATTGTTTAATCTTTCTTGCAGGAATTTCTTATGACTTGTGCAACAATTCTATGGGTACAGATTTAGCACCAGGGATAACTTTATCAAGTAGAGGAAAACTGGAATTTGCAATCAAGGGTGTAAGACTGAAAAATGTGAAGGAAAAGAATGGTGTTCCACAGTATGCAGTCGATAAGAGACTAGATATTATTGTTGCACATGAAGCACCATCATTACAAGTAATATTTTTGTTGAATATTATGTGTTGATATAAAATTACATGAAAGAAGAGCTTTCATTGTATATATATATATATATATATATATATATATATATATATATATATATATATATATATATTAGGGTAGTCCTTAATATGGACATTTTCGAATTTTCTTGCTCCCAAGGGTTCAAATGGTTCCAAATTAATAAAAAACAATTTCCTGAATGTTTTAGCTTTTAATATTAACTTTCAGATTCAATTCGATCAAACTTCGTATGGTAATAGCATGGAAAAAATTTTGAAAATTAAAAAAAAATTTTTTAGCAACAAATGAATTAAAAGTAAAAATTTGTGTCATTTTTTATTGAAAATTCGACGCTCTGCAAAACAGGTTTTTCATAATTTGTTTTGTAGAGTGTCGAATTTTGAATAAAACTCATTCATTATATCTAAAAAAAAAACATTTTTAAAATTTTTGAAAATTTTTTCATGCTATTTCCATACAAATTTTGATTGAATTGCACACTATCTATAAGACAATATTAAGAGCTAAAACTTTCAAAGAATTGTTTTTTATCAATTTAAAACCATTTGAGCCCTTGGGAGCAAGGAAATTTGAAAATGTCCATATTAAGGTCCACCCTAATATATATATATATATATATATATATATATATATATATATATACACTCAATAATTTGTTTAAATTATAATGATAATTTATAGCAATAGAATTATTAAGTTTAAAGATAAAATTGCATGTGTGGAATCATATTTATTATTAATTATTACAACAGGCGAGATTTACTATTCTGCCAGATGATATTCTTGCAGAAGAATTATTACCAGTTACAGTAGAACTCTGCAATGCTGGTACGGTTCCAATGTGTAACGTATTTTTGGGAACGCCAACACCTTGGTTGATTGCTATTGAGGACAATAATACTAGTGAAATTTCTACTGAACTTAAAGAAAAATCTGGCATTAGGGAATTTAATGATGGTTTGTTTCTTTTTTTTCTGATTGATCACTAATTTTTTTAAATTATTATATACATCTAGATTTTATAGAGAATATTTAGATACTGTTATAAGTACATTAGCTATGATTTATTATGCTATCTGTATTAGATATAATCGATGGTGTTGGATATAGATTTTATATTTGGTAGGAATTTTTTCTATTATTATGATGTTATGATATTGCCATAACAATAAACAGTCTAATCTACATTTATATAATCTTATAATAAAGATTCCTTTATTCATATTGAATACTAGTATTGTGCTTGAAATATATACATCACTATTAGGGTATTATTACAATGAGCACATTTTAGCATTATATCATATTTAATTTTGTTATTAGAACCTTATGAATATGAATCACCATCACTACGAGATAAGGAGTCTCGAAAACAGCATACAATTCAAATTCCACTGCCAGATGCGAATGGCACTTTGCTACCTGCTCACTCTCATACTTTTATTTTATGGCTTAGAGCTCCAGCAAATAGAGGACATCAAAAAGTTCACATACTATTTTATTATGAAAATGTAGACCCTAAAGCAATACCAAGGTAATTTTGTTAGTAAAATTTTATATAGCATTACCAAATGAAAAACTCTACTTTTTTATTTTATAGATATCGCCTATTGCGGCACACCTGGAATGTGACAGTGCATGAAGCGATTCAAGTCAATGCTGTAGCTAAAAGAAGTGAGCGTTTGAACTCTAAACCCAATTTGTCTGTAAATAATATGGTTATTGAAAATGATATAAGTGACTGTAAAAATGTTAAAGACCCTAGTATATTACCAAGTTCTTCCAGTGATATCTCTATCAGTAGTGCTATTGATAGTTTAAGACCGACCAGTGAAGTTATTAATATTATGGTTAGAATTAAAAATATAAACGAACCACATCATTCATTAGTAATTGAACTTATAACAACTGAAGCTTCATTATTAAGTCCTTGTTGGATTTTGGAGGATGTGTGTACTGTAGAAGGTGAGTTTAATATAGTTATATATTTTCAATAATTATAAAAATATTATATAGAATATTTTTGAATATCCTATAATGATTTAAAACAGAACTATTTTCTATATATATAAGTTATTTTGTGAAAAGTGATTGATTATTAAAACTTGGTTGTAAAGTTTGAATTGATTGTGATTCTTATTGTGAACATTAATTGCATTTTAAATTTTATAGCTAATTGCACATGTCGTAAATAAAGAGTGCTGAGTGCATTTTTTATACTTAATAGATTCCACACTTACATTTGAACAATTTATAAGTTTTTTTTAGAGGATCCTTTTATAATATTTGATATACCAATTTTTAACTTGATAACTTAACCAATTTTTATCATTTGGCTGATATACTGAAATATGTAAAAGTACGTCCTATTTTCAAACCTATTTTTCGTAACCATAAAAGAGGCGTAACTATAAAAAAGGCATTGAATAAAAATTGATATGGTATTTACTTTAAAATCTGTGACATTGCGATACATAGGTATCTTATTCTTCTATGAAGTGCGAACATTTTTTTTAACTTTTGTGTTCAACTACTTTGAGTAGTGCAATAAAAATCTATAGAATTTTGAAACATGCTAATAAAAACTTGAGCTATACAAACACGATGAATAATTACTTTAACTTTGGTTGACATTTTTTTAACTTTAATTTTGTTTTGATGAATTGTTAAAACATTTATGTTCATATATATATATATATATATATATATATAAATATATTTATTACAAAAGTTTCACACAAAATATTTCAAGAAATTTAAAATCATTATAATTTTATCTTTTCGTAGGCGCAAAGCTACAATCACAGGAGCAGTTCTTCTTAGTGCTTCGGGCACGTCGATATCTGAATAATAAACCTGGTAAAAAATATATGTCTGAAATAGCACTAAATACTCCCGCCGGAGCCAGTCAAACTAGTTGTTCTGATAGTTTTTCAACAGCTAGCCAAGACTTTATTAAGAAATTCCAAACAAATTACATTAACATTTATGAAACGATTTCTATCGGCGATTTAAATTCTCAGACTCAAAAAAATCCATTGTCCTCAACAGAAATAATGAACCCGGCAGAAACAATAGACAAATTGAATTCATGTCTTGTTCTGAAATGGAATTGTGATATTTCAGACAATGCGTCAAACGCGCGAACAGCTTTTGGTCAAATTTATTTGAAATTAGATAAACTCAATTGTTCTGTTACGGTGCCTGAAACAAAAGTTATTAAAAGTAGCAGTGAACATGCTACAAATTTGGTTTTATTTGGACCAGATAGAACACTAGCTGACAAGACGTCTAGTGTATTGACTAATAAAGATGTTATGCAAAAATTACTCATTCGATTTGGCCTAAAACATCCAGCACAAATCGAGCATGATTTTAAATTGCAGTCTGTGTGTTTGGTGCCGGTACAAATGCTTGTGAGCAACAACTCGGATGTGGAATTGATGACAACTATAGACTCTGTAACAAATACAAGGTTATTTTTTATTTTATTATATTTAACACATTTTTATTATATCATTAAATATATAATTTATATTTGTGATTACAGTTCCGGTTCTGGTGTAACTTTTTCATCAGATAAAGGCTCCTACAAATGGGTTGGACTGTCACAAGTGCAAATCTCGATAAAACCACATCAGACACGAGTAGTCGATCTAACTATGGCGGCTGGAGCTCCTAGGACATACGATCTTGGCACGCATCTTTCTTTACTGACTACAGTGAATGGAGTAGTACATAGGCAGATTTCACATGTCAAGAACATACTAGTCATCAAACAATCGTAGGCATATTTTTATAGTTTTTTTTTTTCTATTTACTTCAATTAAACCTTGACTAATGATAATGGGACAATACGAACAACTACAAAAACGTCATAGGGAAATATGATTTATTAAGTAAAAGTTAAATATCTTCATTTCAATAAAAAATTAAACTCTCAAGTGATTATACAGGAAAACTGTTACTTAGCTATTGAGCCATTGAGATCATCAATTTCTAACTGTTTTATATCGACTTTCATTTTTATTTATCTAATCAGTTTAGGAAATGAAATATTTCATATATTTTTTAATATTTGAAATATATATTTTCTATGTATTTTTGTCACCTTTTTGATAACAGTGTATATGCGGATAAAACAAAATTACTTTTAGCACTGTCATTATAATATCATTTTACAACTTAAAACTACAAACTGAAAAATATAATACTTTTACAGTTTAATAAGATTTTACATAATTTTCAAAATAATATATTTGCATAATTTTTCATTATTCATATAGTATTTTTGTCCCTATATATGACATTTATATTGAACTAATTTATTAAACAATAATTTATTATATTTTTTTATAAAATTAAATTGTATATAATTTTGCAAATATTGTGCAGTACAATAATTAACAATTTTTTCAAGTTATTGCTTCAGTTAAATTCAAATTTGGTAGGCGCCATTTTTACACAGCTTTACCTAAAAAAAATTACATTAAGGGGTAGTTGTTGTTGTTTATAATCAACCTTATTCTAAAGGAAATATTATTTTATGTTTTATTAAACACGATAAGTTGAGATTAATATTTAAAATCCTATGCTTTCTAGTTAAATATTTGAATACAATCGGAAATTGATAATTTTATTTTAATCGTTACTGCGATATAAATTAATTTAAATAGTTGTTGCATCGGATGTAATAAAAGTTTTAAACGCCACGAAATAATAAATTTATCATCAAAACTTATGTGTAAATCACAAATTCTACACATTTACAATAAAATGTAATACATTAAATTTATTCTTCGTAAAGCGTCCGTGTCACAGAAGACATTCAAATGAAAAATGTACTAAGAACGCTTATCTTCTATAATTCTATAAGTTACAAAGTAAAAAATGATTAATTAATTTTTTTTCGAGGGCTTGTAAATATACATGTTTTAGTGAGAATCTATTGATTGTTAAATCATTTTGTTGTATTTGTAAATATTTTCAAACATAAATAGGTGGGCTCCTACTTTTGCTCATTTTTTTATGGTGTTTAATGCAATCATATTATTTGTTTCATTTGATTTCAATATTGAACAATAAATATGTTACTAGTAAGACAAATATAAAAAACATATATAGAGGTATTATGGTGAATGACGTATATTTTCTAACGTTCTAATGTAAATACGTAGATTTTACTTTTTTTTTAGAAATTCCGAGGAAGATGAGAGCAATGATTAGCAATCAAAGTAGTTAGATTTTTTTTAGAGCGACTCATCATCGACTTTGATATACGCAATTGTATATTTGCTAGGTAATATGTTATAAAACCTTTTTACATGTATTATAATATCATTAATAATAAGATCACATTATACCAATTAATTGAATCATTAAGTTGTTATACTGTCATCGAAATATTGTTAAACTGTCATCAAATAAAGATGTATACGGTTTGTGTACATAATTGCACATAATACAATGTCGTTTGATTCTTTTAATTCAGGACTAAATTGTGTTTATTATTGGAATCCACAAGTTGACATTAAAAATTTACGACAAGAATTATCATAACTGTTTCATCGCCCGGCGCTTTTACCATTGCGACGAGAAGAGTTTAAAACTACTCCTTTTTTGGGGGGGGCGATAACTGCCATGAAAGTATATTTCTACGCACACCTGAGAGATTATCTTAGCCACCTTTTAATCGCCTGTTAAAAATATCTACAATTACTTTTGGGGACTTATACGAATGAAATGGGATTGCCTTTGTAACTAAATCTATTTAATTATTACATTCAATCATTAACTCTACTATAATTTGATTCATTCATTGAGTTATCTACCAAATATTGATGATACCTATTATACTGTTAGGTGTATAATAACTTTTAACTGCCCTTCTACTATGGCATAACAAACACAAAACTATGACATAAGCTGTCCGAGGACTGACGCTCTACGGACCTGTTTAACGCATTGAAGACCGCATCGAAAATCGTGATTTACTCCTGGGAACCGCACCAAAAATGGTCTATTTCAGATAACACATATCATGTGTTCACCGGTAGCCACGCGGTCCTGTAATGTTAGTATGTTGTGTACTACCGGTGGACATGCGGTCTTCTACGTGTCAATAACGTAAGAAATCAGTTCCTTACAATAAATAATCGTTTGGACTAATATTTGACGACTAAAGAACTTTACTATTACATGAACCTGTCTCCTTTAATAAATGACACTTAGTACCTAAAGTGAAGCGAATTTATTAAATTGCACGTGTAGATTATATAAAAAAACAGTGTTTTGTAAACAAAAAACATAATTTTATTTATTAATATAAACAGGAAAATATATTATTCGATATTATTTTCTTTTCTCTTATTCTAGTCAATAATTAATACTTGTTTAAAATAGGAAATAAGGTCACGCGCGCGACTCTATTTTCTCATAAGTCTTGAAGCAAACGATGTTTGGCATTGTCAGTTGCTGTCTAGTCTTTATTATTTTAATCCATCCTGAATAAAGTCGATAGGCCATTATCCGAACAGTATTTTCTTGATTTTCTTTAATTTGAATATCAATTCTTGAGGATCTTGTGGATTAATGTTTTCTTGAACTCCCGGTTCGTTTCCGAAGACTAGTTCTTCTTGAGCTGGCGCGGCCATGGTCAAAGCCACCAACATCATACACATGGCGAATGCCAAAACCTGAAATTATTAGAAATTTATGGATTACTAATAACTCATTTAAAAAATAGTAATACTAAACAAATAACCCGAATACTGAACTGGTCACTTTTCTCAAACAATTTTGGACGAAATTTTAAAATAAATTTTTAGCTTCGAATTAGTCATGGTTTCAAAACATGTAGGTTAGCTCATATTCACGGATTTGTATATAATATTAGTTATATTAATATTAATATAGCATTTATATTAATATTAATATAGTATTTATATTAATATAATTTTTATCTTTTGTATATTTCTTAAATAATTACTGGGGAAGTACGGACAAAGTGTCATGGTGTTTTGTTTTTTAATGATATTTAATTGTTTAATGAGATTATAACCAGTCTCGATCGTTATTATTTATTTTTGGTTTATTGACTATCCGTAGCAATTTCTTTTAAGTACACATTTTGAATTATATAAATGAAATAATCAAATGAAATGTATATATATAAATTAGGTAAACTGTTTTCCTAATCTCTCATACCAGGCACTTCTGTCTGTCTGAGATATGAAAATAATGTACATATATATATATAAATAAAAAAAGTAGAAACCATAATAACATTAAGGAAAAATGCAACCAATTACAAAAACCATTTTGTCCATATCGTGCGGGCAAAATGACATACAACGTAAGGACTTACTGATATACTAATTTTTAAGTGGACAGTTGACAAATAAATTGTTTGGTCCTCCTTTAGGACATCAGCATGTGAAATATGAGTTCAAAGAGAACAATCATACATCGTAACCAACCTCCACCGGGTTCAAAACGGGAATTGATGATTTGCAATAAATGCGAGTCTCTTCTTTTTACTGGTGCTTTTTTAATCTATCTATATAAGTGGTTAGAGCAGATGTAAAAGGCAATCATCTTCTATAGGTTTCAATTTTTTTTTCTTGGCCCCGGATGAACTACCTTGTAGTGCTTGCGAGATAGTACTGTCATTTTGTCCATAGTACAAAAAGTGTCCGAAAGTGAACAAAAATGAATCAATATTAAAAATTGTATCAAACACCTGATGATTGCAATAAAATTAATTGAAATCACTAGTACTGGCTTTAGTTTGATTTTAATCAAACTAAATTTTAAATTAGGTCTCTGTGTCATTTTGTTCATATATACCATTTTGTCCGTATTTCCCCTACATTAAAAACTAGATTATTAAAACTCTGTACACATTTTGAATTATATGATCTTAAGTACTTGAAGATACATTGCAAATTTTGTTACTTAAAATTTAATATGCAATTGGTTTCTCCGTGCAACAATTGCATGAAGTTTTTTGAAGCAATTAAGTTACTAATTTGAAGGCAACATGAAAATTTGGCATTTGATTTGTATGCTTATAATTGTAGTTAGTTAATTAATCAATTAATTTCTTTGCATAAATAATCTAGGCGAAATATAAACGTCCAAATACATACTTTCTTCCCATTTTGTTTTAAGAATCAACAATCGATTATACTACGCTTATGGTGCATCAGGTTAGAGAAGGTTTGGCTTGAAATGAGAGCTATTAATTTTCATACCATATAATAATAAAAAAAATATTTTGCTATTGTTATTGGTATCTAACTATTTTCTAGTGTACAGTGATTTTTAACCAGTCATTATTTTCGAATCAATAGAGAATCAACTCTAGCGAATTACTATTCTTTCACAATTTTAGGCGTAATAATTCAAAATATCTTGATGTTCATTTTATTTTATTTTATATCAATTCACAAATGTATTGTCACTTACCAATCGTGAGTTCATGTTGTTGATTGAAGAACGGTTAGTATTGCGATACTGTGTTGTTCGGGCGCCTGGCTTTGCTTTTATACTACAATGGTCAGAAGATGAGCCGAATAAGTAAACATACCTTGTAAGGTGCGCTTTACCATCTCTGTCTTCACAATATCACTTTCTTACTTTATCTTTCTGTTAACACGCTGAATTTTAATAATTTGTGCGACTCTGTTATGTTAACTTTTGAATCATATCCGCGTCCGTCTATTGCTGACATATTGATTTGGTAATCTAACTACATATCTTTAGCCAGCTTCTGCAGGATTTTTTCAGAACAGATTCACACACAGAACACATTCAGAAAGTTAATAAAATGTTTGTTAGTTAATAATTTGTTGTTTTTATACCGATTAATCTATTTATATTAACTTCAATAGCATTATCAACGGCAATGATACAAATTATACAATAAGATTTCATGAAATTTTTTCTGATACACATAATCCAAAACCTCATATAAGATAATATTTTTTTTATTGACACTATTCGCAAGCAAGAGCCAATAGAAATTTTATTTTGTTTATATTTAGTCATATTTATTCTTTTGATAATTGTTTTATATGCCTAGATTTTTGGTTGCTATACATATTGGCTTATCGAGCCTGCAAATTATATAGAATTTTATAATGCTATCATTTACATAATTTTATATTATAATAATACTGATGTATGTATTTGTTAGATTCCGATATTTTAAGACACCTAACATTTTTTTTATTTTACTGTTTTGTCTACAATTATGGCGTTGAATGGAGTCTACTTTATGGTCTTTTACAAATATTGCGGTCTAAATCGGCAATAAAATATTATTAAAAATTGCATAAAGCATTTTAAATTGACAACTTTCATAAATTGGTTAATAATTAAGGTTTATAATCTTATTGAAGTCTGATGCAATATTTCAGATGATAAGAATGAATAACTTGGACAATGGTTATATCTGATTGCACTATTAAAAACATTAAGGAATTAGTTTTAGTTGATATATAAATGAATTATATAGGAAAGGAATTATATATGTAAATGATTTTTAATAAAAATGTTATAAATTAAAATACTAGGTATTAATAATGTTAAAGTTCTAATTTTTAATTATCGGAAACATCAATTTTGGTCTATTTCTAATATGTATAAAGGGTTATGATGATCATAATTTCTAATAAAATTTTCATATTCATTCATATTTTGATCTTCTCGTAAATTAGAGAATGAGATGATTTCAATCAGAAGTTTCAAGTTCGATATCCGCCGCGAGCAGCTTGATGTCAAACAGTAGTGACATGGGTTTTCACTTGGAAATATAGATAGAAATATGTTTTCAAGCGAAAATAGTCCTTACTCGACATTGAAGCAATATTCCAATTACTATGGGGACCAAACGTAAAAAAACGCTGTAAAATAACAAAACATGTCTAAATTTTTTGATAGACGTTAAATATAACTTGTATAAAATATAATCGTAAATATAATTGTTATTTTTTTGTAATACTTGTAAAACACCACAGATTGTAATATTCGTTAAACTTTAAAGTCAATTTGTGGGTTTCATGACGCGGGTCATACCATCATGTCCGTTTTTACACAATTTCTTTTATTTTAAGTTCTATTTCTTGAAATATTTTATATCATAATTTCTCAATTCTAACCGCAATATTTCCAAAAGAAATGTTACAGCAACGTTGCGAAACTATCAGCCTAACTTATTATTTATTTGCTTGGACAAAATCGATTGTTTGATTTAAACGATTTCACTTCACAATTCGACAAGCCCTTCAAATAGTTCAAATATTTTAACTTTGTTTTTAAAGCAT